TTAACCAACGAGGTAAAGATCTATACTCTGAAAATGATAAGACACTGAAAAAAGGAATTGAAGAAGATACAATAAATGGAAGCATATACCATGCTCATGGATAGGAAGAATTAACATTAAAATGTCCATATTACTCAAAGAAACCTACAGATTCAACACAATTCCTATCAAAATACCAATGGCGTTTACACAGAACTAGAACAAATAATCCAAAAATTTATATGAAACAACAAAAGACTCCAAATAGCCACAGAAATCTTGAGAAAGAAGAACCAATATGGAGGTATTATATTACCTGATATCAAACTATACTACAAGGCTACAGTAATGAAAAAACATCATGGTACTAGCATAAAAACAGACATACAGATCAATGAAACAGAATAGAGAGCCCAGACATAAACTCACTCTTATAATGGTCAATTTATATTTGACAGAGGAGGCAAGAACATACAGTGGGGAAAAGACAGTCTATTCAATAAATGGTGTTGGGAAAACTGGACAGATAAATGCAAAAAGTGAAACTAGACCTTCTTTTCACATCATATACAATAAATTCAAAATGAATTAAAGACTTAAATGTAAGACCTGAAACCATAAAAGAAGAAAGCATACATATTAGAAGAAAACATAGGTGGTAGACTCTCTGACATTTCTCTTAGTGATATTTTTCTGATATGTCACCTCAAGCAAGGGAAACAAAATAAAAAAAATAAACAAATGGGAATATATCAAACTAAAGTTTTTTTACAGCAAAGGAAACCATCAGCAAGATGAAAAGACAACCTACGGAATGACAGAAGACATTCCCCCAGTGATACATCCAATAAGGGGTTAATATCCAAAGTTTGTAAAGAAGTCATACAACTCAACACCAAAAAACCAAACAATCCAATTAAAAAATGAGCAGAGGACCTGAATAGACACTTCTCCAAAGAGGGCATAGAGATTGCCAACAGACAGAAGAAAAGATACTCAGTGTCACTAATCATCAGAGAAACACAAATGAAAACCACAATGCTATGTCCTCTTGCACGTGTCAGAGTGGCTATCATTACTAAATCAACAAAAAACAAGTGTTGGTGAAGATGAGGAGAAAACAAAAGGGAACCCTAGTGCAATGTTGGTGGGAATGCAGACTGGTGCAGCCACTGTGGAAAACAGTATGGAGGTTCCTCAAAAAATTAAAAATGCCTTATGACCTAGGGATTGCCTTATAAGGGATTCCCCATAAGGGAATTGCCTTATGACTTAGAGATTCCTCTTCTGGGCATATATCCCAAGAAACCCAAAACAGTAATGTGAAAGAACACATGACCCCTATGTTCATTGCAGTGTTATTTACCTTAGTCAAGATAGAGAAGCAATCCAAGTGTCCATCAACAAATGAGTGAACAAAAAAGCTGTGGTACATATATACAATAGAATATTACTCAGCCAGAAAAAAGGATGAAATGTTACTATTTGCAGTGATGTGGAGGGTATTATGCTAAGTGAAATAAATCAGTCAGAGAAACACAAATATCATGATTTCACTCATAGGTGGAATCCAAAGCGTGAAATAAATGAATAAAACTGAAACAGATTCATAGATATAGAGAACCAGTTGGTTGCCAGAGTAGGGGATAGGCTGGGGGACTGGGTGAAGGGCTTAAAAAGTACTAATGGATAGTTACAAAATAGTCCTGAGGATGTAAAGTACAGCATAGGGAATATAGTCAATAATATTGCAATGATATATATGGTGCCAGATGGGTACTGAAAATATCAGGAGGAACAGTTTGTAAAGTATTGGACTATCTAACCACTATGCTGTACACCTGAAACTAACACAAAATAATATGGAATGTAAACTAGAAAGAAGATTAAAAAAATAAAAACATGTTTTTGACAGAAATGTTATAAACTCCAAGTTCTGTAAGGTCCCATGTTAGTAGTAGACATGGTTTTAAAAATACTGTCCATCTATACTTAAGTGCTGTCAACCAACAAAAAATAAAGGAGAAGGGTCATACTCTAGCAATTAATCTTTCCAATCTTATCTCATCTTGGTTTCCAACCAACAGAATTCAAGCAAATTTCAAGTAAATTTCTTTATTCTTATTATTAGCCCACAGGAACCTCCCACAGGTGACAAAACTATGCTAGGCTATCAGGCACCTCAGTGTGGTCTTCTGTGAATAGACTGGCTTTTTCTAGCATCAGCTCAGTGGGGCACCTGATGCTGATGCTCTTTTCTTGGCCTGCCCAACTAAACAGCTCAGCATCTCATCCTTGTCTAAGGAGAGACTCCTGTGTCATAGCTGGTGTCTTGTCCCACCCCTCGCACATGAGGAGGTCATTGTTGGCGTTGGGGAGCTAAAAATTACTCATGGAAGAGTTGTTTTCTGACACCCTAACTCCCCAGCTGAAGGACCAGCACCATGATAAGTCTTACACTGAAACAAATCAAGATACATATTTGTGATCTAAGAAGCGGGAGAATGGCAGTGGACAACTGTGCCAATGGTGGAGGTGCGGTGATCTAGGCATGACCAGGGTCTGTGGCAACAGAGGCACCTGCTATCTGAAAGGGAGGCTTTCAACTCTCAGTCTGAAATTGGACTGGGGGAGAATCTCAGAGCATTAACCACATCTGTAACATGTGATACCTGAAGTTCAGATTAAAGTAGAACACATGTTGGCCTTCGGGAACAGAAACTCTCTAGGAACCAGAAAGTAAACAGCAGCAGTTATGACAAAGAATTGGGAAATTTGGGAAGAAATCTGAATCCTCTTTTTTTTTTTTTAAAGATTTTATTTATTTATTTTTAGAGACGGAAGGGAGGGAGATAGAGAGAGAGAAACATCAATGTGTGGTTGCTGGGGGTTATGGCCTGCAACCCAGGCATGTACCCTGGTTGGGAATTGAACCTGCGACACTTTCGTTCGCAGCCTGCACTCCATCCACTGAGCTACGCCAGCCAAAGACTAGGAATTCCCAGCCAGGGACTAGGAATTCAGGATTCTTTTTTTTTTTTTAAGATTTTATTTATTTATTTTTTTTAGAGAAGGAAGGAAGGGAGATAGAGAGAGAGAAACATCAATGTGCGGTTGCTGGGGGTCATGGCCTGCAACCCAAGCACGTACCCTGACTGGGAATCGAACCTGCGACACTTTGGTTCGCAGCCCATGCTCAATCCACTGAATACGCCAGCCAGGGCTTGAATCCTCTTATTAGGAGCTTATTTGAACTCCTGAGTTTCACTTTCTGAGAGAAACAGCTGACCAAAGGGATCAAGAACAGGATAGAAAGGGAAAAAGAAAAATCCTGTCTCAATTCTAATGGGTGCATTATCTCAGTAAAAACCTAATAGGAATAGTCTCTCTTTAAGGTCAATATTACCACAAGAGTGGCCAAATAAAGAAATTTAGCTGACAAGAAGTAGGCAGTGCCAAAGAGCTGTTATTAGGGACCAGCCAGAAGGCAAAGACTGAGCCACATGAAAGTAACTAAGCTCTGCCATCTTGACCAGATCTCTTTTTGACCTTGAGAGGTGAATGGGGGAAGTAGACAGTGGTTGCAAATATCTTCAGACTTGTGGGCTCCATTTTAATCCAAGGCAACTAATGTATTGAATCCCCATTTATACTTGATTACAGTACATACATTATAGTATTTAATCCCAATAACTCTCAAAGAAACAAGACTCAGAGAGGCCGAGTAAACTGTTTAATGATACTCAACTAGTATATAGTAGAGCTAATATTTGAATCAAAGCCTGTAAGACAGGAAACTGAATTCTAGAAGAAAACATGTACAGCAGCTCTCTCAGACTGCAAAGAAAGCAAGGCTCGGGCAATGAACAGTTATCTAGATAAAAATCTCTCCCCCTCACTTTTAAAAAAACCTTAAAGGCTCTCATTAGTGTGGCTCAGTTGGTTGGACATCATTCTGCAAAGCGAAAGGTCATGATTCGATTCTCAGTTGGGGTATATGCGTGGGTTGTGGGTTCAGTCACCCCAGTTGGGGCACAATAGATTGATGTTTCTCTCACACATCGATATTTCTCTCTCTCTCTTTCTACCTCCTTTCCCCTCTCTCTAAAAATAAATAAATAAAAAATAAAATAGAAACCCCAAAGAACCCTTAGAACTGTTAAGAAATACGATGCAGCTTCCATGGATGGGTCATAAATAGTGTACCTCGAGAGGCTGAAGGCTTCTAAAGATAAGATCTTTGCTCCATCTCATTCTATATAACCATGGCCTGACTGACCATTAGGATTAACAAGAACCTGTAACACAGATGCTGAAACCAGGCAAAAATGAAGAAAGCATGGTTCATTTTTGTCCTCTCTCCATGTTGATGGGGCAAAATTTCATATTATCATGGCTCACTGGGCAACTGGGCTGAGCCACGTAAGCATAAAGCTGTATTTTTTCAATTTTTTTAAAGTATAGATTAAGAAGACCTATATTAAAAGTACATCAGGCATGCTTGAAAAAATCATCAATAATTCCATGATAGGAATCAGGAGTAATTAAAAAATTTGGTGGGTACAAAGTGTACATGTTAGAGAAATGCTACATCAGGTAGAAAGACTTACTCATTTTTTTGTTGTGCCTATCCTCCCCAATCACACTGTAAGATCAGCACGGGAAGAATTATGTTAAACTGCTGCTATCAAAGACAGACACAGAATAAGAGACTTGGTAATTATTTAATGATGAAAGCATCTCTAACATAACTATTTCCAAAATAGAGATAAATACCCTCGTTTCTGTGCATGGATACAGGAAAAGGAGGAAAGAATGATTTCCAGAGAATACCACACTCCCCAGACATCATGTCTGGGGGGGAAAATGGCTCCCTATGGCCTCACCTCCTTTTAGTGCTTCATATACTATACTTTCCCCACTAGGCGTAGATATACCAGTATCCTTTAGAAGCTGGAAAAACAGTATTTTTTAACACTAGCCACCTTCCTCCAATTCCCCACTCCTGATATGGCCTTTACCTTCCACAGGGTTGGTTTTCAGCCTTCGGCAGAGATTCAGTACACCTCCATAGTGGACGTTGATCTGGTTGATTGCATCAGTTGAACGCAGCTCCATGAGCTTCCTTAGGTCCATTACTGAGCAGCCAAAGTCCCCTTCATGGCTCTCAACCATCGAGTTGGCCGGCGAGGCATGTTCTGTTTGGCTTGTCATTTTGCCTGCTGTTCCCAAGCCCCTCAGTTAGAGAAAATGTGAAGTTTCCCTTCAACTGATCAGGATGTGTTGCTTCTCTGCCTTCTTCCTACTTCTTGCTTCTGTGGGAACCCAGTTAGAAAACAGATTGACTATATCTTGTGCAATAAGCTTCAGAGCCTTAGCCCAGATCCTGTTTCTTTATGAAGGTTGGCAGCAAGAAAAGGAAGAGGATGGGGGAACTGAGTGGAAGCCGGACCACGTGTCACGATGATTGGTGTCCCCAGGTGGTGATGGCAGTGGTTGTCCCGGGTAGGTAGGTTCCTAGCTTAGACCAACTTGCCCAGATGGAGGTGTAAACAGGATGTGCACGTTACCATGGAGGCAACCTTAGCAACAAACAGCAACTGCAGTGGTAGAGAAGCAGCAGGAGGATGAGGAGGGCTCTCTGGATACCAATGACAACTGGATCTCTGAAATAAAGATTCAAAGACAGACAAAAAGAAACAATTAGAGTAGCCATGGTGAACCAGAACCTGCAAAGGCAAGAGATACTCCTTCCAGCACAAGGGTAGAGGTGACAGTTGGTGCCTGACCTGAACTGATAGCAGAATCCTGAGCTGAGTAAACTAATTCCAGAGAGTCCCTTTCTTCTCTCAGAGGCCCCAGGAGTCCAATGCAAGGATGTAATTTCAGATACACCCTGGTCTTCATATCTTATCTCTCCCAGACCAAGCAACACAAAGCCCACAACTTCAGAAACTTGGAAATACAAGGTTATGACCATTCATGACTCTGATATTCTCCCTGTCTATTTGGGGGTCCCACTACAGAATCCTTTCATTTTGATCTCACTTCTAATAGGTGAGAAGAGGTCAGAAAAGGAGTCCAGACACGAGTGCTCCAGAGGATGGCCTGCTAGTCTGCCACTCTCCCCCATGCTCCATACCCTTCCCTACTCCCAACACATACATTTACAAAGCGGGAGGACAAACTGATGCAAGATGCCCAAATCCTCTGAGGCTCCACAGACAACTCAGCCTCCAGCTGTATGGAAATTCTGCAGCTCGCTGCAGTTGTCAACAGATTAGGCATGGGAGTTCAGGTGTTGGAGCTAAGCTCCACCCTCCTCCAAAACGCATTTGAGAAAAGGAGAGGAAAATATTCTGGCAGTTGGTGAAACAGGGTGGAACCTTTTTACATAGGGAGGCAGAAGGACGTCTGAGGAGGAAAGAGTGAGTTTGAAGCCCAAGAGAGTTAAAGTTTCTCTGGGGTGGCAGGGATAGGGCAGCTTTTGATTCAGATAGAGCCTAGGGCCAAAAAAGCCCTAGTGGAACATAGTTGGTTAGCAGGAAAGCAAAGTTTGCCTCTGCATGAGTGGGCCCCAGAGGTTCTCCAATCAGCATGCCCCTCAGAAAGGCATGTGTTAGCTCTCACACATGATGCCTGGGAGGAGGAGCAGAGCTATGTGTAGGTGAGGATATGGAGGCTGAAGGCGGAAAGAGGGCTTATCATGAGCCCTGCTCTCAGCTTCAGCGTGTCATGAAGGACCTGCTGAAATGTGAAAGGGCTCTTCCTGAACCAGAACCCCGGAGCCCCAGCCTTGGCTAAACAGTCCCTGTTGATTTCAGTTCAGTTACCAGAGAGTAGCAAGAAGGAGCTCTAGTCAGCCTCTCTCTAATAAATAGAGGACACCATCACTTCTAGAAGGTGAAGAAAGAAGCATAAGAACTATCAGGGACTTGACTCTTTCATCAATTATTTTTTCAAAAATCCCAGGTGGCCAAAAATTCTGCTGATTCCAATCAATTCTGTTCTCAGCAGGATCCCTTGGGATAGAGGTGATAACAGACCCCCCTCTCCCAGTGGGCCTTTTGCTGCCTCCTTCTGTCAGATTTTTAGAGTTACTTTGACCTACAAAGAGTTAAGCAAGCAGGGTTTTTTGTTGTTATTATTTTTTAAATATCACACCCCTTTTCTCTTTAGATGTCATCAGAGAATCCTGGGGAACAAGGAGGTCTGGAAAGAACCTGAGGCCCTGTGTCCAGTTCCTTTCATTCAGACTGGTGTAGAGGTAACAGTACCACAGAATTTTCCCTCCAGTTCAGCCTCTCCTTGGAACTTGTTCTGAAGCAGTGGGAAGGCCTATAGTAGCAAGAAGCCCATGTTGATTATTATGAGGAACTCAAGCTTTCAAGAGGATATTGAGAATAGCGCCGATAGAGTGCTAAACTGAAAATCCCATTTTATTTTCGTTGTCTCCACCCACTACAATGTTTGTTCCATGAAGGCAAGGATTTTACTTATCTTGTTCACTACTTTACCCCAGTGCCTACAGGAGAGCCTGCACAGGGTGGGCATTCAGCTAAATTTTTTAATTGAATAATCAGTAGCAGCCTTAGAACCAGATTTACCATCTTCCCAGGCACCCTTTGGGGCAACTCACTTAGCCTTCTTATGGCTCTGTTCCTTCTTCCACCTTAACCTGGGGGAAGAATCATCCATACCTTTTCACACCATCCTAAAAAAGTGATGAAGGAATGGGATTATAGATAGAAACTGTGCTTGGAAATCTTAAATGAAAGATGCCTAGTATCTAGTATAGGATACTCAAGTAATAGAAGAAAGCTGAATTGATCTTAATGAACTTTGTTATCTAGTCATTTAAGCAGAAGGGCAATAAATTCCATGTGTCTCTCCATCCTTCCTGTCCAGAGGGAGACTGGAAAATTCCAACAATGCTTCACTAGCAATAACCATTAGGTAGGTATAACCATTAGGGTATATATCCTTGGATGTCTAGAGAAGAAGGAACAGTCTAAGTCAGAAATTCCTTACTTTGAATCTCTCCTCAAGATATCAAAGAGGAGAGCTTCTTCCTTTTTGTGCCTTAACATAGGCAACCAATGAGAAAAAGTCACTTAAGATTAGAACACATGGGGCATGTGGGGAAAAATGAGGTTTGTTGTCTGCTTCAATTTGCTCTAGAGACACATACTCAAGAGGTCAAACACTTACGTTGCTGGCATAGAGTCAAAGGGGCAGTGCTTAGCTGGGAGCCCAGTTTATTTCTCCATGGAAGTTCTTCCAGGATTCAGAGGTGTAGCAGGTGCCCATATTTCTTTCTGAGCTCTTAGAATATGAGCTCACTGCAATTGCTGAGCTTGTCTAGCCCCTAACCTTATTAGGCAACTGGCAAAGAATAATCTGTAAGTGTTCATGCTACCTCCACCTCAAGACACAGTGCGCTCAGACGCCTGGGAGGTAACACCTCTTGTCACGTCAGAATTAATCATTTGGCTCCGAGCATTCTGGGTAAGATATGTTCTCATTCCCTGTTTCTAGCATTTTGCCAGCTTAAGGGATGACAGGGTGGATGAGTGAAGTCTCTCATCCCTTCCTGCAGGGCCAAGAAATCATACATGATCATAAAATCATTTTAATTTGTTTTCCTCCTAAAGTCCTGTAACGTGTTCTATAATTTGTAATGACACATGAAAGCACTGTCACATCAATTCTAGGTAGGGCAGCTGTGTGTCCTCCTCTCCCCCTTATAGATGAAGACACTGAGGTCCAAGGAGATAAAAAAGGATTTGGTCTTTGGCAAGTCAGTGACCCTGACTGCCTGGTGTTTTTGTTTGTTATACTTTACTCCTTCCCTGAGTCTGAACCTCCTCATTTTCTGACAAGCACATAAGAGGTCCTTTAAAATGCAGGCATTTCTGGGGTTGTGCTGGTAGCTTCCCTGTGTACATCTTTGGTGCAAGAATTTTTGACACACAACTAAAAAAATTAGCCATAAGGCAATTTTGCCATAAAAGATCAAATCACTAGAAGACAGTTTGGTTTACGTTTGGCAGACTTCATGCATTTAAGTGAGTTGTCAGTTTGGTTTCATTTCTTCATGGATGAAGTTCTTGTAGTTATGCCAATTCTTATATTACATAAACCTCAGCCCTCACAATGTACAGTGATGAGTAGACATGGCAGTCTTAAAATAATAGATGATAGTGACTACCTGTAAAGCACATTATGAAGCTCCATGTACCACCAGATTGTACACTCTACCAGGAAATGATCACAGATCAGTTTGCAAAGCCTTCAATGAACAGTCAGCCCTTCCACTCATCAAAACCAAAAGTTTACCAGGTTGTGCAAATGGATACCACTCTTAATAAAGGAAGAAGCAATTTTAGCAGAAAAAGTGCCAGGCCTAACAAGGAGACAAATCAACAATAACAACAACGACAACAACAAAGTATATTCTTATGAATGAAAGACACGTATTTCCATTTTTCTCAATAAAGTCTTTTAAATTTTGTTCTTAATTTTTCATGTTTCATTATATCCTTTTTAATGTCCTTTTATTTTTCATTATTTTATCTTTTATGGCAAATTTGCTTTATTGCCAATTAGTTGTGTGGCAAAAAGGGTGTGGGGAATAGAGTAACAAATATACTTAGAAATTCTTGGGCACAGAAAATACCCATTTTCATTTAAAGGTAATGCTCACTCTTATCCTTGCTCTTTCTCTTTCAGAATCACCTCCATGATATCCCAGGCGGTGAGGATAAAATAGAACCTACCTCCTGTTCCCATACATTCCTGAGAAGTAAACACCCCATACTTCCTGATAAGTCAGTCCACAGCTAGGCTCATTAGCAAGTTCCAGAAAAGAGGACCTGCTTGGGACAAGAACGCCATGGCTTAAGCCACCAAATCATAAGCAATAGTCAGATGCTCTGTTTCCTCCAATTTTGTCCAATTTTGTCCTCCCTTACTATAGGAAAATTTCCCAGGGTGCTAAAGAAGAGAGAGATCTCCAGAATGCGAGGAAGAAAGGTAAATCCTCTGTAGGGCATAGAGTAGGGCATTACCAGGTTCTGAAAGGAACCCACCCCGGAGTCTCCCGTGCCAAAGGCGCCTATCAAATGCAGTATGAGTGCCTGAGAAATGCAGTATGAGTGGAGGTGGGAAAAAGGAAACAGGAGGGGCCAGGGGCTAGGGCAGCACTGCAGCCAGACCTGTTTGGAATAATAATAAGCACCTACACTCAACTCTGGCCTCTGGGCTGCAGGCAGCGCTGCTCAATAGAGCAGACTGTTGTTCCCTGCCCTCCCCTGCTCTGCTCACTGGGCTGAGGGCTTATGCTCAGGAGCAAGGCAGTGGTGGCACTTGAGATGCTTGGAGTGCCAGCATCACTACTGTGCGGGTCCTGAGGATGAAGATGGGATGACCAGGGGTGCAGTGGAGAGGGATGGGAAGGCAGGCTGTCCTCCTGCTGTCCCCCGCCCCCGTTAGAATGCACCAGACTGAAATATGAAATCTGCTTCAAGGCCACACCCCCAGCCCTCCAAAGCAAAACCTGTTCTCTTTTCTTTGATCCAGATGCTCCCTTCCTCATCCCAGGTGGGGTTGGGAAGGGAAGGAAATAATATCCATTGAGCACCTGCAATGAGCCAGGTACCATGCA